TTTTTTTTTGTAATTTATACAACTCACTTTACTTCAATTGAGTAATTGAAGTGGTTCGACGAACAACTTGTTAGTTTGTCCTTTCGATACCACGTCCTTAACGCTTGTAATAATTGTTAACACCATTTTTTTAGCATAACTTTTTAAATTGTGAGCCAAATATACTAAAATTTTATCTCATGTTATTTTATGCCAATAGCTAGTATAAGATTTGAAGAAAATGATGTACATGATGCTTCACATATTGTATACACTTGCTATTGTATTATCAACATAAATACTATAAATCTATGTAGAAAAATACAAGAAGATAATATTTCACATTATTTATTCAAACAAATTAATTAATATATATTTTATAATATGTTATAAGAAACTTGTTGGGCTTTCATTAATTTAAAATTGGTATTGGTAGATGAACGTTTGTATATTTTATATCAAGTAAACAATTATTTTATTATTTTAAATATGAAATATTGGTATAAAATCAAACTTGATGAAAGAAGATTAACTTTGCTAACAAATGAAATCTTTATTAAGTTTTTATTTGAAAAAGTAAAAGATATGAATATCAATTTAAAAACAGAAAGAAAAAATAATATGTTAGTTAACTCAAAACATGAAAAGGAAAATAATTAGAAATAAAATATTCATCTTTAACTAATATGTTCCAATATATTTATACCAATCTCTAATGCAAATGAATTTACAATGAAAACTATTTTAGTATGTAAAAAGAAGCGGAAAAACTCCCGCTAAAAATGACATGTCTTAAGTCTTATTATGGATATAGATGCTATTGTGTATTTAGTGTTTTCTTTTTTTCTTTTTTTCTTGGAAATATACAGGAGATACTGCCATGTTAATAAGTGGACATTAGGATTGACTGGTAATGGAGGCCTTATAGCCATAATTAGAGCCTCTGGAGAGATTAGCCAAGTGCGAGGTCCACTTAATATATCCAGTTCAGGGATTTTTGCTGAGCAATTCATTGAGAAAATACGCACTGTAAGAGGTACAAATTTGTCTCATCTGTAGACAAAACGTGTGAGTGATTTTGTATATATCTACTCCTGAATGAAATGCCAAAACTGTCGCACATAACTATTGGGATTTATTGACGTTTCCTGCATTGTACTTCAAATTTTGAGTGGATGTTAGGTTTGAACATTGACGATAATTGTTAATGCAAATTTAAATGACATTTACTGATTAAAAGGCAAAAAAAGGAAGGAGGTCAGAACTAAAACATTTACCTATATGAGAGGAGTATGAGTAGCTAGAAGCATTACACAACCTTCTCCTCCTGTTAATTGCTTAATTTGATGCGTGGTGTTCAACACATTAACTGCTCAACACATTAACTGCTTTTGACCTACAGTATGTGTGTTAATTGATTAAGTAATTTCAAATTAGAAGGCTCGAACTGGTTCAGACACAAGAACTGTAATCCGGATGTGCTTGAAAATATTTGTATGGACCTAATTTGCAACAGTATTACTGAATTTGGTCTGGATATCACATAAACTTTTCAGAATTGGCGTTTACTGTTCTTTTGCATGTGTGAGTTGCAAAATGTAAAGAATGCATGAAAGGGAGAACTACATGTCCAAGTGTGTAAACTGTACAGCGAAGCAGCTTTTGTGTGAATTTTTTTTTTTTTATTTTGGGTAGTTAACCTCGCCAGTAGACAACCTGGTTTTACCAATTTGGATTACTGTCTTATGAATGGTTTCTGCAATATTATTCATTGGAGTAATTGTTAAGAGTAAAATAGGAAATTCCACTACAAAAGTTGCACCAGAAAACCTTCCCTACTGATATGTTAGATGGGAGCATTACACACTCCCCTACTCAGTCATCGATGTCCTCTGGTGCGTAGCTCAGATGGATACTTTGAGTAAACTCACATATGATCCCATCCATCAAAATTTAAGAAATAATCATCTCTTAAAAAGCTTCGTTACTAATTGGAGGAAATCCAATTACATGACTTGGTGCAGCAATCATTCCACATGGGAATGGGAGCTTTAGACATAGTAAGAAGTATTCACCAGGAGTTATCTTTTGCACTATTCATATCACAATAATCTTTTAATAAGCCTACCTTAGCATAAAGGGGTTCGTTTCCCTACACCTCTATACAAGAACCCAGCATGAATAGTGAAAGATAGATCTAGAAAAATTTATTAATAGTGTCACCAATCTTGGTGTCGTATCTCTACTTTTGGATTAATGAAAAGCTGTCATTATTCAAGTTTCATTAGAGGTACAAGATAGGCAGAGCGACCTGTTTGCTAGAGAACAATTTGTTGAATTGCATCCTCTGCCTTTTTCACTTTGTGTCATTTTAATTTTCGATGTTGTATATGCAGTAGAACAATTTGTTGAATTACATCCTCTGCCTTTTTCACTTTGTGTCATTTTAATTTTCGATGTTGTATATGCAGTCAACTTATCTTTTTATGTTTCTTTCCAACTTTGGTATCTTGTCATATATCTATTTATTTATCACATGTACTGTAAGATTCTTTTCAGAGTCAAAATTGTATAAAGCCGCCGTCCTTCGCATTGATAGTCCTGGAGGGGATGCTCTTGCTTCTGACTTGTAAGTTGTATTGCTCTATTTTCGTGTTCCTTTGCCTTTTGTTGGACTATGTGATCAGTGTTATCAAATGGAGGCCACTACAAAATGTAATGTACTGCATAAAAAAAATAGTCATATCTTTGATTGCTGGTTTTTGGTTTTAACAGAATGTGGAGAGAAATCAAACTTTTGGGTGAGTCAATACCTGTTGTCGCATCAATGGCTGATGTTGCTGCCAGTGGAGGATATTACATGGCAATGGCTGCAGATACCATAGTTGCGGAAAATCTCACGATAACTGGTTCAATTGGAGTTGTGACTGGTGAGGCTTAATTAAAAGTTTTCTATCAATCTCTTGCAAGAAGCCTTTTCTGGAAACAATACTATTTTAGTTCTTGTATGAGATTCATTTACTTTACTGCATCTTGTCTTGTGTGATTTAGCACAAAGTAATTGACAATACTCTTTGGCAGATCCTAAGAAACATTTTTCTCTTAAAATAAATTACTTAATTGTTGTGGTGCTAAGTGGCTGGGTCAAAAACTGGAGTAAAAAATTAAGGATTGTTTTTTTTCCTCCGACAGAAGTTCTTGTTTGGATCAAACTTCTATCTGTCCAATGTAAGTATAAATTTGATGATAATAAAAAACTGTTACATTGATGTTAAGAATAAAACAGTTAATAATAACATATTTACTAAACTTGAAATATAATAGCATTTTCTTATTAGTTATGGGGAGTAGGATAATAAGAAACTAATAATTAATAACTGAAAGCACCAGGGTTCGAACCCTGGTGAATGCCTTGATTGAGGTACATGCTCATGATCAATATAATGACAACATTGCTTCATTATTAGCACAGATGGGCAGAAAAAATTATTAAGAGAATTTTTTGTAAACGTCTTTCTCTGTAAGATATAGATGGCTTAAATTAAATCAACAGACACATAATATGGGTTGTCCAACTCTTGCAGCAGAATCTGAATGGTAAAGTTAAAATTGTGGATTAATTATTGAATTTCTGTTGATTTATGCTGCAATAACTAGGTAATTGTTCCTTTTCTGACAAAGCTATGGCATATAGTGGGAGCATACAACAAGTTCGAGTAATGCACAAGTATTCGTTAATCACACTCATTATGGGGCAACAATTTATACGGGGGCTTACAAAATGAAGTGAGAAAATGTTAATTAAGCTTACAACATACTATTTTATTTGTTACTTTCATGCTCATGCTCAAATATACTTCGGTTTGGGTGTCTACAAAATTAAAGCCAAGAAAAAACCACGAAAGCCCTTCAGCTGGGGGTTCAGTTGAACTTGTCAATATTTTCTCTGGGACATACTGTACTGATGTTTGTGGCTTTGCTTTTAGGAAAGTTTAATTTGCGGAGGCTTTATGAAAAAATTGGCTTCAATAAGGAGATCATATCTAGGGGAAAATATGCGGAGCTTACTGCTGCTGAACAGCGACCTTTTAGGTATATCAAATTCCGCATTGACATGGACACCCATCATACTGTTATTAATTAGTAAATGTACTCAGATGCCTTTCTGTAGTTACTGTCATTTATATTTTCAGCACCATTATCATTTTTTAACTAACCTTTATTGTAGATTATTGAAGTCTTATTGCCATTACCATAAGCTGCACTACTGTATATTTGATATTTCTAGGGTTCTGCATTTGTAACGTTAATGTCATATGTTGCAAGATATGAATATTTGTCAAGAAATGCCTCTATGGACTTTGTAACATGATTCAAGTTTCTACGTTTGTAGTAAAGAAATTGATTTTGTGAATCACTGATCATCCTTGAACAAAATAATGATGACTAATGATTTAGGGCTACAGAGTCTTCACCAAGCTATGGCCGAAGTAGTAATTTGGTTGTGTTGTGATAAAATCATGATGAGCTCTTAACATTCGTAAAGTTAGAGAGGTTTCTTAAGATAAAAATGGCTGAAAACTCCATAGACAAGTAGCCAAGCCTCTGGTAATCATATCAGACAATTAGATCACAATGTGCATCCAAGATAAGGTTAGATACTTCATACAAATAGATAAATCTCTAGGAATCACACCAGACATGAGACCACAGTATGCATCTCGTATAAGGTTCGAATGACCCAATGGCTTCATATGATTAAACACAGCCCTACAACTAGCTTTGATTGCATGTCAGTTGATTGACATCAAGAAGTCATTAGGACACCAGAAAACCCCCCTAATGTTGCAGAGTTGGATGTTTAGTTATATAATAGATGTTGAAAGTGCACAGCAAAAGTGTTCTTTGGAACTGCATTGTATTAATCATATGGTAGAAATGGAAGACCTAAAATGCCATGTTTGTTACTGTCACGTGCGAAATTTCTCACCCCTTAAATTCAACACATGTGTGAGATTGGTGAGATAAGTTTTATTACTTTAGGGCTGATGAAGCAGAACTGTTTTCAAAGTATGCCGAGTATGCGTATAGAAGTTTCAGAGACAAAGCAGCCTCTTGTAGATCAATGAGTGTAAGTTTGGCCTTCAGCATCCTATAAATCTCATCATAGGATGCCCAAGATATTCTGATAACAAATATTAATATTGAATTTAGTTCGATTTGATGATGTTTTATTGTGAGTCAGTCAGAGGAGATGGAGGAGGTGGCGCAAGGAAGGGTTTGGACTGGCAATGATGCGGCTTCGCGAGGTTTAGTTGATGCTATTGGTGGACTATCTCGAGCTGTTGCAATAGCAAAACAGAAGGCTAACTTACCATTGGATGAACAGGTAGCTTACTTGAAATGTTATTCTATTGGTTTTAGACATGTGTGCCAAATATAATCAAAGTTTTTTTTTTTTTTTTTTTTCTTAGTTTCATCACCTGTGGGTATCATTATGTAAAACGAAAACTAGTGTACGTACAAGATGAAACTTTCGTCACTCTATGAAATTTCTATTGTGTTTAAAATACCGTCCGTCTTTCAGGTCACTCTCATTGAGGTGTCGAGTCCTACATCTCTTCTTGAAATCTTGAGCGGATTCGGTAGCTCCATTGATGGGGTGGCCAAAACTGTCCAAATGTTTGCACAGATGATGTCATCATCTAATGGGATTGTTCAAGCCCGAATGGACCGTAACATGCTGGAACAACTGGGTAATGGAAATGGAATCATCCTTAATCTCATCAGAGATTTCCTCAGTTTTCTCTAGTATTTTTTAACTTACTCGTGTTTTTTTTTTTTTTTTTTT